AAGCAGTGGTATCAACGCAGAGTACTCAAGCTTGTAAACGTCTCTTGCCTTGTGAACGTTGGAGGAGGATTGAGGATGGTTCAAAGCTAATCTGTGATTCGATTCGATCTAGGATCAAAATCAAACTCCGTGCAAAGTACGATCGACTCTTGACTGATCTCTGCAAAAATTGTTCATGTAACAGAAATAACATTACCGACCACCGCTCTCAAGGACATGCATATCAGAATGAAGTTACATCGAGGGTCACGGTGATTGGGAACATTCCATTATCTTCCAATGTCATCGAGCTTCTTAGCCTTGGCCCTTCCTTCTCTCCTGCGCAGAATGTCAACTCCGCGACTTGTCGCAAAATAGTAGGAAGCCTGCACAAACTCAGAGACACTCTAAGACTACGCAGCAAATGCAAAGATGGTCCAACAGCAACAGCTCGCGATGCCAACAGCTTACTACCCTCAATTCCTTTCCCGCAGTCGTTCTACAGACAACCTGCTCCCGTCCCTGAGGTAGACATCAAGTTCCGTCTCTTATGTTCTGGTGTTCTCGAAGTTCTAAATAGAGCGAAACATCAACATCAGACTAACCTGACATCTAGACAGTGGCAGGGTTTCAAAGAGATACGTGAACTCGTATCTAACGGTTCGGTGCGATTGTCTGTAAGCGATAAAGGCGGCGAATTCGTAGTAATGCCTCAAGAGTTGGATCGACGAATAACAGCAGCTCATCTGGCGGACACCACCACGTATAGAGTCGTCTCTGCGAAAGAATTTCAATCACAGTATAGAAAGTTGAATGACGCTTGGACCACGATAGCTAAATCTGCGGGACTCGACGATAGGTTCATAAGCAGGTTAAAACTCAGGTCTCCAAGCTGTCTAGTGTTTTATAGCCTTGTTAAGACGCACAAGCTTTCCTTGCGGGACATGAGTTCAATGTCAGCGGACACTTACAAAATTAGACCGATTATTAGTTGCGTAGGCGGTCCCACCGATCGAATTTCGTGGTTCTTGAAGAAAATCGTGAGCCAACTGCTACCCAAAGTACCAACCCATTTATCCAGCTCGCGTGATTTTATAGAAAAGCTTCGAAGCGCCAAGTTTGATTCGAGCAATGTAGTCGAGTCATTCGATGTGACTTCGCTCTACACTAATGTGCAGAACAACCAGGCTTTGCAAGCGCTCTCAGAGATGTTGGATAAATATGCCACTACCATCAATACCTTTGTGCTTGGCAAAAGGCGGACGATGACCCTAGTGAGCGAATGCTTGAAATGTATTATCTTCAGATGGTCTGGGACGTACTACTCCCAGATACGCGGATTGGCTATGGGTCAGAGGCTAGCCCCTGTCCTCGCCATTTGCTTCATGAGTAAAGTCGAGGAACCGGTGCTAGCCCGCATGCCGCTGATGTACTGCCGTTACATCGATGATTGCTGTATATTTACGTCCACACAATCCGAAATGGACAAGTGTTTCGAAATTCTCAACCAGCAGTCGCAGTACATAAAGCTTACACGAGAGATACCGCACGACGGATGGCTCCCCTACCTCAACGCACAGGTCAGATTGTCCAATGGCATTGTTAGCATGAAGTGGTACCGCAAGGAAAGCTCAAAGAACTCCTTATCAATGTAAGATCTGCGCATCCTGCATCTACGAAACGAGCAGTGATCGGGAATATGTTCAAAACAGCCATGCAGATGTGCTCCGGAGAAAGAGAACGATGCGAGTCACGAAGTTTAGCCTCTCAGATTGCTTGCAGCAATGGTTACCACTGTCTACCGCGTATCCAACATCACGCAAATGGTGACCACATTCGTGATAATAAGCTCCCACTGTGCCTGCCATTTATTTCCGATAACATCAGTACGGCTTTTCGAAAGTGCATTATACGCGCACAACTGCAAGACGATGTTGTCTTAGTGAACATCCCAAACGACAATATCAAAAAGCAGTTGGTTCGAAACAGACTTTACGATCGATATTGTATAACAGAAAGATGCGTAGTCTGTCCGTACGGTAGAATAGGTGACTGTGCACAAGCGGGAGTGGTTTATCAATTGAAATGCCTTAGCTGCAATGCTCTCTATATTGGCGAAACTGGAAGATCACTTAGTACTCGCATAAACGAACATCTGGCAGATAAAAGGCGTAAAACCCTGTTACCACCGTTGGGCAGGCATAGGAACGAAGCGCATGGTGGAGCCGATTTCGATATAAAGTGCGAAATCTTAACCTATGAGAAGGAAACCTCGGCTAGAAAGGCGCTGGAAGCATTCTGGATCTCTTCAAAGAATTCAGCAATGAACAATAAGAATGAATGTTTGTCAGTCACCAACGACTTCCTTCCATTCTTATCGATATGCACTCTATAGATCACATGCTATGTGCATTTATAGTATAGTTTAGTCCTTCCGCCAAGACCATCACTTCCGGTGCGGAAACTGACATAGCGGTGTTCTCAACGGTATGTTCATTTTCTGGCGCTGACAATTTTTGCGGTAGGGATGTTGAGCGAAGATCGAGAACTAGCAGGAATGAGGATGGTGCTTGATGGCCTCTTTTCACAGATGACGCTTTGAGCCATTTTCAGGCCTCTGAGGAAGACGAAAGGCGTCGAAACATTAGGCCTTGATTGGAATTAAGGTGTGGTCTTATGCAAGGAAGGCCTACGTCACGATACGCTGGATGGCCCGCCCTGGAATGTTACGAAGGATGTGTACAGAGCCTTTGTGTAACTGAGGACACTATCACCCTTCTTTACATAGCCATTAAACATTCCTCAGCTTCACCTTGGGGCAGACCCAACGTTCTAAGCTTTTTTGGGCACTAATTAGTGACGTTTTTAAGTAGTAAAGTGCGTAGTTGGCCTTGTTCCAGAGCTTTTTCACTGACCTTTTAACTGTCTTAGTTTCCGTGATTCTACTTCACTGACAAATGCTTCTATAGAATTGGAAATACACTGATTTCATTCAAAAATTTCAAAGCTTCTGTAAATGTCCGTATGAAGTTCCTTGTTTAGGCCACATTTAGCTACCTCTCCCCACTACCGCATTTGGAGAACGACTTTTATTGACTTGCAGAATTGCGGGAACCCACCGGTAGAGCGGTGGGTCTCCACAAGCGTGCAATTCGCCAAATACGATACCGCTTTGCTTTGGAGATGAATACCTTGGCTGCGAGTGCTCCACCTAGTCGCCGGTTGGGCATTGCTATACAGAGTGTCATAAAAAGGGCGGCGTGGCCTTATACTACAAGGCCCTCGCCGCCAAAGCTCGCCGCCATAGTCGGCACGCGCGGGGAGCCGGCTTACGGTAGTCCGCACCCACTTTGCACCGGTGCGCTTGAGCTATGAGGCAATCGCGCGAACGCAGCCTCGTCCAACTCCGCCGCGTGGCGACGTCACGCCGTGATGTCGCGATTTTTATCAAAAGTTACATGAAATTACTCAGAAAAAATTGCTCTTTCAGATTTTAACGTCAGGCATCGTCCGCCGCACCGCGATAAGGTGCAAAATTGAGAAAAACTCGTCCATTTTTTCTTTTTTTGAATTGGTTTCATGTTTCTTTTATTTGTGAATAAAAAAATAAGACTGTTCAACTCCGAAACTTTCTCAATTGTTTCAATTTTCTCTGTTCAACTCCAAGAATTTCTCAATTGTTTCAATTTTCTTTCTTTTTTACTCTATTTTCAGTTTTTTGCCATGATGCTGTTACTTGATTGTCATTACAAGCTGTGACCTGTGGCCTAGATTGCAGTTGAGATTAGTAACCCTTCGGCAATGCTGAAATGCGGCCTTAACTTACTAGGACAAATGCCTACGGCCGTAGGAAGACCTCCACAATGCCGAAACATATATTAAGAAGGATCATTATGACTCCTCAGCAACTTACATGTTTCCAAATAACTCCTATTACGCTCCTTATTTTTTCTTTTATTATTCTAGCGAAGGCACTCAGGTAAGTTTGATACAAAAAAGGTTCCAGTCTGTATTTTATGACTTTTTGGGTCCCAGCACAGAATGGAAGGAGTGAAGAGCCCGCGGAAGCTCAGCAGCCGTCGAACACAGGTACTGTCAGAAGCGCGGAGTTATTTTGCGGAGAAAAAGAAGTAAGCAAATATGGCAAACACCCAGTAATGTTTTAAATATCCCAGGTAATCTACTTTTTACTTTTCTCTGTGTGAGTGTATTTCTCAATTTTATACTCATTTTATTTAGAAACACCATTGTCCTACGTATCATGTATCGGCGTCGCACAGCCAATCCAGAAATTTTTGCGTACTTACGCACACACTGCAAACGGAGCGGTGGAAGAAGTGTATTCATTCAGGTCAGAATATTTTGTGGTTTCTTATTCTCAACGATTTTAACTTGTTTTTTTTTTGAGGAGAAAGGCGATCTCTTTCTTAGCGATCCTGCTGGATTAGCGCACGTTTGTGCTCCTTTAGAACGAACCAAAGATAAAGCCGAGCGCATGTCTTATGAAGTGAGGAAATAAATGCGAGCACAATATACATCTAAAAATTGTAATTTTTTTTAGTGTCTGCAGGAAAGAAGACAGCATCCGACTGGAAACCATCTAGGAACGCAAATGTACTGGTTAGCAGTGATTGGAGAGATTGAGACGATGAGCTGAGGTGACACGGACAAGAGAATGAAAGTTCTGGACTACTTCATAACAAAGAAGAAATACGAAACATGACGAAGTTCTTTCTCAAACTCAAAACTTTAATTTTTTAACTGCTCAAAACATTAGTTGCACTTCGCAGGGCAGTACTGGGGAAAAGCACAGCCGCGGATATAGACAACGTGCCAGAATTTCTTCGTAGAAGACCTGACGGCAGCACTTTTCTGCAAGGTCAAAGTTCATCTATGCACATTTACTACGGCCAAGATGTTGTGGTGGTACGTAGAGAATTTATAACGCTTAATAATAACAATTAAGTTGTATTATTGCAGGAAGCAGTACGGAATGGATTGTCCGCATTTATACAGTGCTGGCCAAAATTATAGGTCCACTCTAAAAAATGCCATAACTCACTCTGTTGTGAATGAAATTTTCCAAAATTTGGTACAGACGTGTTTTTACCAGCCTACTATCAGTCTACAAAACGGTTCTCGTTTTCGTTCGATTATTCAAGAAAAAATTAGAAATTTTAAAAAAAGCAGGCTTGAAGGCTGGCCAAAATTATAGGTCCACCTGGAGTTTTTACTGATTAAAGCACTTCTTAGCTCCCGAATTTTTTTAGGTAGGCACACATCCAAAAACGTTAAACAGCTGCATTGGTCAAGCTGTGTCATACCTCCAAAAGGAACTGATTATCTGCTTTTTTGCCTTGAAGATGCACTCACATGTATTCCGCTCCACAAAGCTGCGTTGAGTAAGAAGTTCTGCAGTTTCTCAGCTGGATCGGAAGAAACGGGTTTTCATCTATCTTCTGGATGCTTTTCGACGTGAGCATTGAGGAAAAAATCCGACTTTTTGCTGAAGCAGTGGTATCAACGCAGAGTACTACTGCAATCCTGAGCTCAAATTTCTGCCTTCAAACTTCTTTTACTATGTTCTCAGAAACATTGAGTAAAGTAAAGGCATTGTTTCTATGAAGGGGAGTCTATACCATAGTTACAACTTTCTAGAGATCCTAGCATTCGAGTATAATTACTGAAATCACTCTGCAGAAACTGATTACGACAAGCACCAAAGCTACTTGTGACTCCGACCAAAATTTTCAGAAGAATCATGTGCTAACATACACTACAAGCTGTATCCACTATCTAGTAAATAATTACTGTCAAAAATCTAAGTGAGGTAGCACTTGGAAAGCTATTTTGGATCGCGTAACACCATTACGTTGCACACACAACTCATGTTTCGAAAAGAAGCAAGGCAGCTTTGTGGACACTTGTGAGTATGGCGAACAGCTTTATTCTTGTGTAAAAAATGCTTCTACAATATCTTAAGGTTATAATGACAATGCATAAAGGTTTTAGGGCAGAAACTGAGGCTTACTCTGCCGATTAAGCCGATGTCAGATTTGCTTCAGCAGCAAAAAGTCGGATTTTTTCCTCAATGCTCACGTCAAAAAGCATCCGGAAGATAGATGAAACCCCGTCCCTTCCGATCCAGCTGAGAAACTGCAGAATTTCTTACTCAACGCAGGTTTGTGGAGCGAAATACATGTGAGTGCATCTTCAAGGCAAAAAAGCAGATAATCAGTTCTTTTTGGAGGTATGACACAGCTTGACCAATGCAGCTGTTTAACGTTTTTGGATGTGTGCCTACCTAAAAAAATTCGGGAGCTAAGAAGTGCTTTAATCAGTAAAAACTCCAGGTGGACCTATAATTTTGGCCAGCCTTCAAGCCTGCTTTTTTTTAATTTCTAATTTTTTCTTGAATAATCAAACGAAAACGAGAACCGTTTTGTAGACTGATAGTAGGCTGGTAAAAACACGTCTGTACAAAATTTTGGAAAATTTCATTCACAACAGAGTGAGTTATGGCATTTTTTAGAGTGGACCTATAAATTTGGCCAGCACTGTAGCTGATGGAATCCATCAATTGAACCCCAGAAAAAGCACAAGAGCTGCAAATAACATGAAGCAAGGCCAGCTTTACACAATACACGCAGTGTGTACTGGGGAATTGATGAAAGGTGATAATATGGCAGCGTTTATTATTTAACGTTGAAAACAATATCGATGTTTTCGCAAAAGTGAAGGAGGCGCTCCAGACAGCTAATTTTGATGGCGAGTCGCAGCTGCGAATAGTACTAGACTATGAACTGGTACTAACCCTTTTTTAAATAGCCAGAACTTATTTAAATTCCTTGAGACTGCCATGAATGCTGCTAAAGCGAATTTCCCCCTCAGCTCTGTCGAAGGGTGCGCCTGGCATATATCTCAAGCATGGGTGCGAAAAAGAAATGCGCTGAGGATTACTCGATACTTGAAAGGACGAAGCAAATCTTCGAGGGTGCTCCGATGGTGGCGACCGTCAAGGGCTTGCCGTTTCTCCCCCGTGCATTTGGCACTGGTCCGAGCTTTGAGGGATCTACCCGTAGGAAGAGACCATCCAGCTTCTCAACCATGTCTAAATTTCCTAGCTTATTTCTCGGACACCTGGCTGGAAGGGCCTTTTTCCACCATGTGGTGTAAGCACATGGTCGGGTGCAGCGCACAACAAATCTTGCCGAGAATCATCAGGGGTAATTCTCAAGTGGTGATTGTTTGAGTAATATTTCATTTTTAGGCGACTTCGCAGATTATGTGGTGACAGGAAATATCCTAGATATGTTGAACTCGTATGTGTACTCCAGACATTTACCACCATTGCACTGGTCGGCTTAAGGGCGTTGGATGAGGTGAGCATGCTGGATTGACCCAACATCTGATGCAAAAATTTAGGTCATTGATCACACAAGGCGATTGCGACTGAGGGATAGAGAAAGGCGAAGAAAAGTTACCGCTGCCATGTCAGAATTCGAAGATCTTCGAAGCCGCTCCGTAATTACAGCCGCAGAAGCCGAAGAATATTGCCGTGAGATGGCTCGCTTCACATCCGACAGAGCTATGTAGAATATTACAGAAATGAATATGAAATTGTATTTACTTATTGTTAGATGTATATTTTGAACTTGTATATAAAAGCTTATTTATTTACTTGACGTACTAAGCGTTGCGTTGAAATTTCAAGAGAGGTCATTTCAACATTCCTTTGTTTAATTGCAAATAAAAGAAACATGAAACCAATTTAAAAAAAGAAAAAAATGGACGAGTTTTTCTTAATTTTACACCTTACCCGCGGTGCGGCGGACGATGCCGGGCGTTAAAATCTGAAAGAGCAATTTTTTCTGGGTAATTTCATGTAACTTTTGATAAAAATCGCGACATCACGGCGTGACGTCGCCACGCGGCGGAGTTGGACGAGGCTGCGTTCGCGCGATTGCCTCATAGCTCAAGCGCACCGGTGCAAAGTGGGTGCGGACTATCGTAAGCCGGCTCCCCGCGCGTGCCGACTATGGCGGCGAGCTTTGGCGGCGAGGGCCTTGTAGTATAACGCCCGTTTTCCACAAAAAGATGTGCCTACTATTTGATCTAGTAACTCTTGTAGTAAAGTCTTTCGAGAAGCATTAGGTACCCTTTTGTAAAGCTGGCTTCATCTTAGACATACAGTTGGTGCGAATCAAAAATTCCTTTTTATTACTGTAAGACTATGTAGAAACTTTGAGGAAGGTTTTGCGTATATGAGGTCATATTTCACCCTTAATGAGCCGGAGAAGTCCAAAGCTCCTACACTAGGTTAAACAGAGTTGCTGATTTCGAACATGAAATTCGCGTTTCATCGTAACGCATTTTTCATAAGTTATGCCAGATATACCACAACCATGAATTTCTACTATCCCTCAAAATCTGATTAGGCCATTTGAAAAGCTCTACGTATGCGCAAAATTTCGTGTACTGAAATCAGCATGCTTTAAAACCGCTTGATCGCGGCAGCAACGTGAGTCGTTCGATTAAAGCCCTCTTTCGTCCTCAAGGCGCCGACCTCGCTGCTATTCGTACGTCGTTTGCATGCCATACGCGCATATGCGACAGTGCGCAGTCTTGCTCAACCCTCAGGATGGCGCTAGGTGTGCATATGTGTACCCATGTTGTACCCTTTGATTCAACGAGGTTGGCGGCTGAAGGCAAGCGCTCGCGCCCGCGACGCAGTACGCGTTTCTCGCGAAAGTGCTTTCTGATTATTCCCTTGCCTTAATTAGGTCACGAAGCCCCACCTTCCAGCCTCCAATCCAGTTGAATCAAAGGTTGGAAAAATCGGGCACGCTTTTTATTCACATATTTCTCACAATTTTCATACTTTGTTCTAAATTTCTATGGCGAATACGCACACCAGATTTGGAGCCAAATCGCTAAAAGCTCTTCCATAACGAAGGCGGTCGGTTCTGTGCGACACGACTGCGACCCGCGTGTTTAAGCATCGCTTATCATCAGGGTCGAGCAAGGGTGTGGCACACAAGCGCCGCGACCCCTCCCCCCCCCCCCCCTCCTCCACCCGCATTATAGTTTGCCTTCCGTAGCCATAACATAAAGGCTCTACCAGCATAATTAGGCACATATTCGTAATTATTATGTCAAATAAACACCATGGGCCAAGTTTTAGCAAATTCTGAGGGTTCACAATATTGGACCACCCAGTGTAGTCATCTTCAAACATGATTAGCTATGTTTTGAAAGTAAATTCTAACTTTTTTTATACTCAACACAAAGCAATATTCCCTATCTACCCATACCATGAATCCTGCTTCAAATAACCATCAAACTATGAAATTAGAAGCAAGCCAAAATCTCGCTAATTCCATTTTTCTCTTCCAGTGGCTGCGCTTTCACCAGCTTTCACTCAGAGCAGAAAATGAATCAGGCTCAGATTACCCTTATGAAAACTACAAAACCCAGCCTATCAAACTATATGTATTTTGTTCCCTAGAATTCTTTTTGGAGCAAAATCCCTAAAAAGCTGTGGCCGGCGCACCTTTTTAGGGGTTGCGCCACACCCCATTGACTTACTTACCTTTTAAAGCATTCATATTTCTGTCTTTTTTATATGGTTGCTGCTGCTAAGCCTTCTTCACCACGTATCAGAAATTTCACCCAAAATTGTTTTCCTTAGGAAAATAGTCGTTTTTCCTTAGCAAAGCAAATGAAAAGCACGGCGAAAATCTTGATTACGGTAATATGCTAAGTCTGCGCTACTACGTGACGCGAGAGAAGGCGGCAAGAACAAGTATATTCGATAGTCTGATCCTCGTAACTTTCAAAAAAGTGATTTACTGACTGGTCTTCTCTAGTCTGAGAAATTGAAAACGAAATGTGGGATAAACGAGATTTTGGCTTGCTCATAATTCCTGAGTTTGAAGGTTATTTGAAGTGAGATTTCTCGACCAGAGAAATAGTGGTACTTTGTAATGAGTGCAAAAAGAAGTAGTTTACTGACTTTTAGAACAAAGTTACCATGTTCGAAAATGACGACCTCACTTGAGTTTCCCAATATTTAGACACCTCAAAATTCGCTTAAACTTGGCCCACAGGGGTTACTTGACATGCTAATCACGAAAATGATGCTCTTATTTAAGGATTCTTTTAATGTGCTTACTGTGCGTGTACGACGGTAAGCCAAAACATCAGTGCTGGTATCTTGCACAATGGGCCTATTTATTTATTTATGTATTTATTTTTATTTATTTATTATATGCACTCAAGGTGCGCCACTGAAAAACAAGAAGAACGCAGAAACACAAACATAAAGTCTAGCCAGTAACACAAATTGGGTAGAACTCGCTGCCTGCTGACCAGACTTCTACAGTTGATAAAAATGGTGTTCAAAGAAGGCCAAGGCAAAAGGAATCACGTAAGACAGTAGTATAGTAGCATCGTTTCGTCACTAAGGCACAGGAGCGCCAGTGATTTATTAGCAACAATATTACTCAATGCAGCCTGTTAGATACTCTACCAGCTTGAAAAAATTCTATTTTTTCACGAATAGCTTTGACCTTAGGCATTCAAGAATGTTGTAGTTAGCCGTAGTGCCCAAAATAACGGAGCATGATGTGTTACCATGGTGGATTACCAACAACATGGATTCATCACTTTCGAGTGGTCCGCATTGGAGGTGGTACCTAGGCGATATGACTAGACCACGCGTACCTAGGCCTCCATTATACTACCTACCGCCTCCACTTCCCTCCGTGCTTGAGCAACATGAGCAAATATGAATGCGCGATCAAAGCTTAAAACAGCACAGACCTGTTTGGATGTAAGATTTCGATTGGCCGAGTAATTCACTTGGATAACTTTACGTGCACTGATTAGTTGAGAAAAAGGAACTAAATATCAGCTTTCGTGAGAGAAGCATGGTCAGCTGGTGTAAACAATAGAAAAAAAATTAGTAGTGTGACCAGCCAGCTCATCATTTCAGCACATAAAAATCTGAGTCACTTCAAAAATTGTATGAGAATCAAGAACATCTTTGATAGATGCCAGATAATCAGCTGTATCAAACAATGAGTCATCATTCATCCGATGTAAGCCATGAGACGAAGTAAGCCATAAAATCCATAAAACTGCAATGTAGTTGAACAATATAGAAAACACCTGAATTGATCATTCCGAGAATCAACACAAATATGAATGAGAATCGCCTTCTATAGTTTTTGTCAGGTCAAAACTTTGTAACGCTTTTTTAAAAGTCGAGCTATTTTTGGCTGATAGCAATTTTGAAGGCAATCGTCTAAACCAGCGTGCACAACGATAGAACAGAAAGTTGAAAAGTCCCGAATAACAGCATTTGTCAAGTCTGGGGTAATGGAGATTGAAGCCTCCCACTCTGCTACTTACTGGTCTAAACACCCAAAAGTCACTAGCCGGGAGGTCAATTTCTTTACGCAGTACGCCAAAGCAAAATGTTAAATCAGCAATAATTCGTCGCTGTTTCAGAGATTTTAACTTAGTGAACTCAAGTCGTTTATCGTAATCAGGAATAGATGTTAATTTTTTAGAACATAACATTCGAGAAAAGACCATTCGAGTGAAAGTGTGCTGAACTTTTTCAAGCTTGATGATTTCTTTTTTTCAACATGGATTCCATACTTAGGAGCAATACTCAAGATGTGGAAGCACGCAAGTTTTATATAGTCGTATAAGCACAACGGGATCACTTGAATGGATACATCGAAAGATTGCGAATAGAGTAGAGTAAGCTTTCTTGACGACGTAATCAATATGTGAAGTAAAATTTAACCGGTAATCAACAAAAACTCCCAAGTCTTCAACTAAGGAAGTCGAAAGCAAAACAGATCCATTTACTACGTATTCACATGAGGTGATTTTGCCCAGATGTAAATAGGAACACTTGTCAGAATTTAGAGAAAGGCCATTAATTACTGCCCATCTATTTAATTTGTCTAAGGCAGACTGCAGAGAATTGTGCACTCTATGGATATCATTTTCATTATAGGAAGCGCATAATTTGATATCATCGGCATAGATTTGTACACTGATTCCATTTACATTGAGTAGGTCAGGTAGCTCCATGGTGAATATAAGGAACAGTAGGGGGGAAAGCACACCACCCTGGGGAACCCCACTAGTGCACTTATACTCACCAGAAAACGATTGACCCACTCTAACAGTCATAACCCTGTTTTGGAGATATGACCTAAACCAGCACAGAAGGTTTCCAGAAATTCCAAATCTTTGCAGCTTTGATATAAGAATATCATGCGGAATTCTATCAAATGCTTTGGAAAGATCAACGTAGATAACATCGATTGACTTTCCGGAATTAATAGCCTTTCTCCAATCGAAAATGCTCTTGACAAGGTTTGTAGTAGTAGAGATAAAGCTGTTCGAGATAAAGCCATGTAGTTGAGGTGGAATTATATAATGCTTTTTGATCCAGAAAATTAGCTTATTCCTTATTATCTTCTCCATCACTTTTATTGGGGTTGGAGTAAGGCTTATGAGACGAAAATCAGACACTTTAGTGGCACTGCCAATTTTTGGAATAGGCGTAACCA